CTGTCCCAGTTGCCCCAGTCGCTGTTCCAGTCGCTGTCCCAGTTGCCCGCTCGCTGTCCCAGTTGCCCCAGTCTCTGTCCCAGTTGCCCGCTCGCTGTCCCAGTTGCCCCAGTCGCTGTCCCAGTCGCTGTCCCAGTTGCCCGCTCGCTGTCCCAGTTGCCCGCTCGCTGCCCCGTGGCCTCACCGTGTAGTTGGGGCCGTGCCGCGCCCCCAGGAGCTTGGCCAGGTGCCGCAGGTGCCCCCCGGGCGCGCCCTCGCCGCCGCCCGGGATCGCCACGCTCAGGATCCGCTCGGTCACGAACGCCAGGTCCAGCTGGGGGGGGGGCGACGCCTCGGGGCTGGGGGCGCGGGGGGTCCTGGGGGGGGGAGCGGCTCAGAACTGGGGGGCGCCACCCCCGAAACCCCTGGAGGGAATTTCACCCTCAGCACCCCAAACACCCCCCAAGCACCCCAACCCTCCCCGGGCTCCCCCAGCACCCCAAAACCTCCAAATTCCCCCCTCAGCACCCCCAAACTCCCGTACCTGGGCAGGGTGCTCCGCTGGGGGGCGCTGTCGAGCGAGGAGCCCTGGAGGGTCCCGGAGGAGCCCCAAAAACGAGGGGGGGCAAAAGGGGGTCGTGGGGCACCCAAAACATGGGGGAGCTAAGGGCTGTCCCCAAACACGGGGGCGGAGAAGGGGCCAAGGCAGGCGGGGTCAGGGGGGGTCCCCAAAACTGGGAGAGGTCGAGGGAGTCAAGGGAGGGGCGGGGGCAGTTGGGAGGTCCCCGGAACACCCGCGTGGGGTCAAGGGGAGGGGCAGGGAAGTGCCCAAAGGGGGGGGGGGGGGGGGGGGGGGGGGGGGGGGTTCATAAGGGGTCAGGGACGGGTGGGGGGGGGCAAGGGGGGGTGTCAGAGGGGTCCCCAAAACACCGCAGAGTCATGAGGATGTCGGGAGGGGGAATCGGGGGGTCTCCAAATCCTGGGGAGGATCAGGGGGGTTTTGGGAGTCCCGGGGGGGAGGTTTAGGGGGGTCCTGGGAGGGGGGTTGGGGATTCCCGGGGGAGGTTAGGGATCACGGGGAGGGGTGGGGTGTCAGTGAGTCGAGGGGGTTTTGGGGGTTTCGGGGGTCTCACCACGCGCTCGCTGCGCCGCACCGGAGCCGTGTTCCGCCTCTGGAAGGACACGGCGGGGTCTGAGGGGGGGCCCGACCACCGGGGATGGGGCCTGCCCGGCGGGGTTTGGAGTCCCGAGGGGGATTTGCGGGGTTCAGGGTCCAGGGAGAATATCGGGGGTACCGGATCCTGACATGGGTGTTTAGGGGTCCCGAGGGGGGGGTCCCGTCTCCTGCTCGGGGCGGGCTTGGGATGGTTTCAGCCCTTCCGTGGGGTCCCTGATCCTGCCCGGGGAGTTTGGGGGTCCCGAGGGGAGCTCAGAGGGTCCTGCCCGGGGGTGCCTCGGGAGTTCGGGTCATGCCCGAGGGGTTTGGGGGTCTCGAGGGGGATTTGAGGGGTCTCGGGTCCTGCCCGGCGGCTCTGGGGAGGTCGCGCCCCCCCCCCCCACTCACCAGCTCCGGTGGGGGCAGAGGTTGGCACGGTGACGTCACCTGGAGGAGGACACGGGGATCATCCCAAATGGACCCCAGCCCCAAATGGGCCCCCCCCGCCCTTGGGTGACGTCCCCGCCCCACGTCGTACCTTGCTCTCACATCTCTTGTGCGCGGCGACTTTGCAAACTGGGAGGGACAACGGCGACATCAGAAACCCCCAGGGTCCCCTCAGGGTTTCCCCAGCGTCCCCCCAGGGCCCCAAATACACCCCCATACCCTCCCGCTGCCCCCAACAACCTCCCAGTATTCCCAGTAACCGCTCACTGCCTCCAGTGACCAATTCAGTGACCCCGGTAACCGCCCAAGTAACCCCCCAATGCTCCCAGTGACTTCCCAGTGCCCTCCCAGCGCCCCCAGTACCTCCACTGGCCCCAGTAACCTCCCAGTCCCAACCCCACTGTCCCCAGTACCCCCTCCCCACCCCATCCAGCCCCTCCCTATGTCCCGGGACTGTCCCGGGGGTGTCACCTCTGCACACGAGCCCGTGGGGTCCCAGGGGGGTCCCGCAGCCCCCACAGGGCGCCCCCCGGCGCAGGCTCCGCTCGCGGAACGCGTGGGGGGCGGCTGGGGACGGCCTCGGCTGGGGAGACACGGGGCGGTCACCGCCTGTCCCCTCCATGTCCTCCCCGATGTCACCTCTCGTTTCCCCTCCATGTCCCCTCGTGTCACCCTCTGTGTTTCTTTTGTGAACCCCCCCCTGGCCTCCCCGGGTCCCCTCAGTGACCCCCCTGTGTACCGGCCCCAGTCCCACCCAGTTCTCATCGCGTCACCTCCGTGTCCCCTCATGTCACCCCCCTGTATACAGCAGTCCTCCTCTGGTCCCCTCATGCGTCCTCAGGTGTCAGTCGGTGTCACCCGTGTCCCTCCTTGTGTCCCTCCATGTTCCCTCCATGACTTCTCACTGACCGCGTCTCCTCCGTGTCACCCGTGTCCCTCCATGACGCCACGCGTGTCCCCGCATGTGTCCCTATCATGTCCCCCTCTTGTCACCCGCAGTATTCCCCTGTGTCCCCCTCCCCGTCCTCCCCTGTGTCCCCTGTATCCCCTCTCGGATCCCACTCCTGTCCCCCCCATGTCGTCCCTGCGTCACCTCCGTGCTCTCCCATGGCACCGCTGTGTCCTACATGTCACTCCCCGTGCCACCCCCGTGTCCCCCAAGTAACTCCCCCACGTCCCCCGTGTCCCCTCGTCTCTCCCCGCTTGTCCCTCCCGTAACTCCTCGTCGCTCCCGTGTCAGCCCCACTCCCACTTGTGCCTCCCCGTGTCCCCCACCTCGTGTCGTCCCGCGTGTCCCCCCCGTGTCCCCCCCGGCCCCTCTGGCCTCCGGCCACGGACATCGAGTCCCGCAGGAAGCGGGCAGGGACAAGCCCGGGAAGTGGCGACCCCTGGGACGACCCCGCCGTTCCCACGGAGGGGGAGGGGCGTGGGAGTCTGTGCGGGGGGAGGGGGCACGGTGGGGGACGCGGGAAAAACGGGGAAAAGTGGGAAAATGGGGGAAAAGGGGAAAGTGGAGGCGAGGGGTGAGCATGAGAAAACATGGGGAGGGGCGGCGAGGGGGGGGAGGAGGGTCAGACTCGACTTCCCCCCCCCGGTCACCCAGCGTCACGCGTGGGTAGGGGGCGGCTGGAGCGGACAGCGGGGGAACCCCGCGGGGGCGCCACGGGGGGGTTCCCCCGCTTTTGCCCCCGCACCCAGCCCTCGCTTCCCCACGGGGGGTCCCCACCCTACGCGGGACCCCCATGAAGCGGTACGCGGAATAAACACACTCCCCCAAAACCTCCGTTTCACCCACCCTCACCGGGACCTTGCCCCGGTCCTACCGTGTCGGGGCCATCGCGGCGGCCAAGCGCGCGCAGAAGCGTTCCCACGGCCCCGGGGGGCTTCATGGGGGGGCTCCGCGGGGACCTCGGGGGGTCCCAGGCGCTCCCGGGGGGCGTCTCGGGGCTGCCCGTGGGTGCCGCGAGCGGCTCCGTGGCCGAAGGCGCGCGGGGAGGGGCCGTTTCCGCGAGCCCGGAGCCGCTTCCCGTGCCGGGGGGGGACACGGACACGGGGGGGACACGGGCGGGACGACACGGGAGCGACACGTCTGGCCACGGGGAGGGGACACCAGGAGGGACATACGGGAGACAAGGAGGCGACACGGGGGACACGGAGAAGACACACGGGGCGGACACGGAGGGGACACGGCACGGGACACCGGGAGGATCACAGGGGAGACAAGGAGAGGGACACACGGGGGACACACGGAATGACACCGCCCCCTGCCGACCATGCCTCAGTTTCCCCGTCTCATTTCCAGGATCCCCCAAAATTCCTCCCGAGTCCCCAGACGGTTTCCTGGAGCTGCCCCCGCCCCCTCTTCATCCTCCTCCTCCCACCGCCCCCTCGCTAACCCGCGCCGCGGCCCCCCAGGACCCCCAAACTCGGGGAAAAAGGGGGGGTTGGACCCACCCCATGGGGTCCCCCAAAATCAAGGAGAAGGGGGAAGCTGAGACCCCCCCGCCACGAGACCTGCAGATTCATTGGGAAAGGGGATCCTCAGCCCATGGTACCCCCAAACTCGGGGCGGGGATGTTGGTTTGGAGGGGCTCGAGGGACCCCACACAATCCCGGGATGGGGTCCCCAGGGAGTGCAGGGACCCCAAACTCCTCCCTTGTGAGACTCCTGGGGGGGAAGCTCGTTTCAAGGGGAAGAATTGGGGTAGAGGGGGTTTTGGGGGGCGTTGGGGTGGGGGTTATTGAAGTTTTGGGTTGCAGGGGAGGAATCAGGGTGCAAGGAGGGTTTTGGGGTGCAGGGCTGGTTTGGGGTGTGGGTTATTGTGCAGGGGGGGTTGCGGTGCAGGGAGAGAATTTGGGTTCAGCAGGGGAATTGGGGAAGAGGTTTTTGGGGTGCAGGGAGAGGATTTGGGTTTGAGGGACTTGAGGTGTGTAGAGGGGATTGAGGGGCCTGATAGGTCCCCTCCCGGTTGGGGTTGTCAGGGTCCCCTTCTCCCGGCCCTTGGGGTCCTCCCCCCTCACCCTGGCCAGGACAGACCCCCCTTTGTGGGGCCGGAGCCGCCCCGGGGGGGGCCGCATTCCAGCGGTGGGGGAGGCGGGTTCCAGCATTCCAGCGGTTGGGAAGAGCCGGGAAAGAGGAAGGGCGGGGGGTAGCGGGTGGGATCCCGGGGCTCGGTGATGTGCCTGCATCCCCAATTAATTACCCCAAATTAATTACCGTTAATCAGCGGAGGGTGGAGGAAGAGTAAGAATGGAAGGATGCAGAGAAGAATCAGAATGAAGGTGAAGGAAAAATTAAAAAGGAGGAGGAAGAGGATGAAGAAATAGGGATGAGGAGGAAGAAGATGGAAGGAGGAAGGAGAAGGAACAATGAGAGGAAGGACAGAGAAGAAGAAAAAAGGAGAGGAAGAAAATGAGGTGGAAAAAGGAAGGAGAAGGGGAAGCAGGAGATGCAATGATAGAGGAGGAGGAAGTGAAGAAGTGAGGAAGTGGAAGAGGAAGAGGAGAAAGAGCAAGAGGATGGAAGGAAGGAGGAACATGAAGAAGGAGGAAAGGCAGTAAGAAAGGAATGAAGGATGAGGAAGGAGAAAAGATGGAATGAAGAAGGGATGCAAGAAAGAAAAAGGAAGCCCAGAGAGAGGAAGGCCAATGTCGGGACAGGAAATTCCCCCTGGAGGGCTTTGGGAACTGCCCTGTTCCCCTTCAAGGTGAAGAGGAGAAGGGCAGAAAGATCTGGGGCCTTTCTGGATCTTTTTCAGCTCATTTTATTGGAGAAAACAAAACAGCCCCCAACCTGGGGGAGAACCCCAAAACACCCCCCTGGGGACCCCAAAACTCCCCCAGGACCTCCCAAAACCTCTGGGAAGGTTCTTTTTACACAATTTTACAGCCCACCCCAAATCCCAAAATCTCGGAGTATCTTGAGGTTCTGGGGTGGAAATTCAGGTTTTCCTGTGTAAAGGGTGGGATTTGCATCCCAAAAATTGGGTGGGGGAATTGGAGGGGCACCTGTGAGCAGGAGGATGATGAAGGTGCCCAGGGGGAAATCAACATTCCAGAGGTGAGGAAAAAGGGGGGCAGAGGGGGATCCCAGACCCCGGAGGATTTGGGGGGGATTGGTTGCCTCCCTATCCCTGTTTTGGAGGGGCTCCAGTGAGGATGAAGGCCAGCTCTTCCTCACCCCTTATTCCATGGAAAACAAGGAGGGAGGAGCTGCTTTTCTTTCAAGAAAACTCTTGGAATTACCCCTCCCGCTCCCTGTGCTGATTTTGGGGTGATTCCCGTGCGTTCTGTGTGGGGTTGTTTTCAGGATTTAAGAAGCTGTAGCTGAGGGAATTGATGAGTTTTAGGCTTTATTTCTGTCTCGCCTGGATCAAGGTTGGGATTTTTGGGAATCTCCAGAGGTTCCTGCAGCAGCTGAGGAGGAGGAAGAGGGGGAGGAAGTTTCTACTCAGCTCCTTCTTCATCATCACCTTCATCCTCCCCATCCATAGAGAGCGCGGCGTATTTGCTGGCATGGCTGAACTGCAGGGAAAACCAGGAAAAATTCCCAAAAATGGGAATTGAGGGGGATAAATATCCTCAGGAGCTCACACATCCCAAAACCAGGGGGTCACAGCCCCTCAGAAAGGGTCAGAGAAATCCCAAAATTGCCAGGGTGTTTGAGCTGGGAGGGCCAGGGGGGTGTCACTGTTGAAAAAAAACAACTCCCAAAGCTCCCAAAAAAACAAGATTTGAAGGGGATGAAAACCCCCAGGGGGTCATGCACGCCAAAAAGAGGGGTTCACAGCCCTCCCCCAGGGAGTTTCAGACTGTTCAAGGCTGAACTGTGAAGGTGGGCAGAGGGAGAGGGGCAGTGAAGCAGAAAATTCCCAAAATACCCCAAAAAATGAGATTTGAGGGGTTGAAGTCCCCTGGGGGTTCACTCACCCCGAACAGGAGTTACAGCCCTCCCTGTTAACTGGAGGCATAGGGCATCAGTTATGGTGAAAATTCCCCAAAACCCCCCAAACCCGGGATTTGAGGGGGGTCCCTCCCCTGTTCTGGGTGCCCCAGATCCTTACGGAGGGGGGGGTCTCCTCCAGTTTCTTTGGCTCGTGCTCCTTCCGGGGGTCCCTCCTGAGGAACAGAGGTCAGAGGTCAATGCCCGGGGAAATTCCCGGTGCCCGGGGGGGTTTCCCGGCTCCGGAGGGGGCTCTGGGAGGGTCTCACCTCTCAGGGTCCCCCATTCCCGTGGGGCCGCGGCTGCAGCTCCGGCCCTTGGAGCTGCTCTCCCGACCCCCCTCCGGCTTCAGCTCCTCTGCAGGGAAAGGGTCGGGGGGTTACAGCCCCAAAACCCCCTGAACCCCCCAGCAAGGCCTCAACATCCCTGGAACCCCCTGAACCCCTTTAAACTCCCCCACAAAACTCCTCAACCCTCCCAGATCCCCTGATACCAACCTCCCCCTGAGCCCCCTGGAAAGCCCTGAGCTCCTCCAAAATTCCCCAAACACCCCATTAACACCCTCTGAGCCCCACAAGTGCTCCCAAGACTTCCCAAATCCCCAAAACCCACCCCAAGCTTTCCCAGTCCCTTCCTCCTAGTCTTACCTCTCCTCTGGGGGGTCCTGGGGGGGCCCCCATCATCTCCAGGGGGGGAGGGGCCAGGGGAGCCCCCACTGGGGAGAGAGAAAATGGGGGGAAAGGGCATCAGGAGGGTCCCTGGAATGGCCCCATTCCTAGGAATGGTGGAATGGGGCATGTGAATGTTGGGATAGGGCCTAGGAATATTGGGATGGGGCACTGGAATATCCCTAGGCCCTGGCAATGTCAGGATGGGGCGCAGGAACATCCCTGAGCCATAGGAAATTTGGAATCGGGCACAAGAATGCTGGGATGGAGCTCAGGAACAACCTGAGAATGGTGGAAGGGGGCACAGGAAGGTTGGGATGAGCAGAAGAGCCTCCATGGGCTGGAGTGTTGGCATGGCCACAGAACACTGGGATGGGGCACGGTAATATCAGGATGTGTGGTAGCAGCATCCCTGGGCCACAAGAATGTTGGGATGTGCCACGGACTCCATGAAATGGACCACAGAACACTGGAATGGTGCACAGGAACATCTCTGTGACACAGGGACGCTGGGATGGGCCTTAGAAAGGTTGAGATGGGTGGCAGAAATGCTGGGATACACCACAGGATCACCCCTGGGAAGTCAGGGTCTCTCCCCTTCTCCCAGCCCTTGGGGTTCTCCACTAGGGAAAGCCAGGGATTCATGGAAGGCTTTGGGCTGGAAAAGGCCCCCCCGGCAACTCCTTCCTGGTACACTCACCTGGTCGGGGAGGCTTGCTCCAAGTCACAGCTCTGGGAATTGCCAGGGGGGTTCTGGCTGCTCCGCTTCATCCAGGCATTTTCCTTGGGAGGGGGCGCTGGCATCACCTTTGGCTTCTCCTCCCGAGATTTGGGGGGCGGTGAGGGTGGCTCCTCCTCTTTTCCTAGGGGCTCATTTTCCAGGGATTTCTCGCTCTCCCTCCTCCGTGTGGCTAGGGAGACACAAATCCGTGTGGCAGCTGCTGGCCGCCCTGGGCCAGGACGCTCCGGCCGCCCCAGATCCCGACTCACTCCGGCCGGTGGGGCCAGAGCCCGTGGACGTTCCTGGGGGTCCCGCGGGGCCGCTCTGGGAGGATTCGCTGCCTGTCCGGGATCGCTCCTGGTTCTCCTCGCTTCGCCAGCTTGGATGCCTGGGATAGAGTGGAAATACGATCAGGGGACTGGGAAAGGGCTGCCCAATCCCACCTTTCCCACAGGATGAACACCATCCCACCCGAACCACTCCCAAGGGATCATGCCCACCCATCCCACTTTTCCATGGGGTCCATTCCTTGTCCCTCCCATCTCTCTGTGGGGATCAGCCCTGAATTTCCTGAGGCATAATTTCCATCCTCTCCCACCCCTCCATGGGGATCATTCCCTACCCATCCCCACCCTTGCCACTGGATCATTCCTAGCCAATACCCCCTTTCCCAAGAGACCATTCCCTACCCCCTTCACCTTTTGGGTGGGATCATTCTTCGCCCATCCCAACACTACCAAGTGATCATTCCTTACCCATCCCACATTTCCTAAGAGACCATTCCCAGCCCTTCCCACCTTTTGCGACCACTCCCTCTTTCCCAAGGCACCATTCCCACCTTTCTCGGGGCCGTCTGTCGATCCTCTTGTCATCCTCCAGCTGCCGCTGGAGTTTTTCCTGCTCCTTCTGGAGCCGCTCCTCCACTTCCCGCTCCCGAGCCGCTGTATCCACAGGCTTGGCCCCCCCAAAGATGGAAGCGGCCCGGCTGGACTGGGCAGCAGGAGCTCCTGAAGTTTCCTCTTCCTTGGGAGCACTCCGGGGCTTCAGGTTGAGCTTCGGTCTCTGGGTGGGACCTAGGAACGAGCCAGGATATCCTGGTAGGCACCAATCCCACCTGGAACAGTCCTGGGACTGACAGGATAATCCTTGTCCCATCCCACCATTCTCAAGGGATCATCCCCTTCCCAAGCCCATCCTTCCTAAGGGATCATTCCCACTCTCTTTTACTTTTCCACGGCAACATTTCCAACCTAACCCACCTTTCCTGAGAGACCATTGTCTGTCCTTCCCATGTTTTCATGTGGATCATTCCTGTACTATGCTGAGCTCATTCCCAGTTTGTAGGGATAAATCTTTCTCAAGACACCCTTTCAACCCCATCCCACCTTTTCCAAGGGATCATTCCCATTCTATCCAACCTTTCCAAAAGGAAGAGCCCCGATCCCACCCCACCTCTGTCCTCGCGGCGGAAATCATCCCGGCCGTAATCATCCCGGGAATTCCACCGATCCATCCGGTCATCCCGCCGCTCATAACGATCCTCATAGCCACGGTAGTCATCGTCCCGGCGGTACCCGCTTCCAAAGGCTCTCCGGCCGCTGCCTATTCGGGAATCGTAGCCTGGGGAAGGAGATGGATCATCTCAGAGTCACTGGGGATCATGCAGCTCAGATTCCCAGCGACAAGCCTAGGAATTTGGGGGATTCCGTTACTCGCTGGCCATGGTGGGGGTCTCCCACTCTCTCTTTCCCCTGAAAACACTTGGGAATTCCCACCTCGGTCGTAATCCCTGCTGCGGTCATCGTAGCGATCCCGGCTCCCAAAACCACGATCCATGTCCCGCCGTGGCCCGTCCCGATACCGGTCATCATAGCGATCACGATATCCTGGAAGCAGGATGGGGTTTTACTGGGATAGGCACAGATTCCATGAGGAAGGAGAAAAATCCTAGTACTGCTCCACATGGGAAAGGAGGAGGCCCCATTTTTCCCTACAAACTGGGAATGAGCTCAGGTGGGAATGAAGAGTTTGGGAATGAATGAGCTTGGAGTAGGAATGAGAGCTGAGAACAAATGAGCTCCAAATGGAAAATGAACAAGCTCAGGGTGGGGGAATGAGTTCTAGAAATACATTAGCTCCAGGTGGAACTGAGTTCTGGGAATGAATGAGGACCCCAGATGGGAATGAACGAGCTCAGGTGGCTCCTCATCTGAGGCAGAGCAGTGTCAGGTGCCCTGGATCTTGGGACAAGGCTAGTTCCCAGGACATGGGAAGGAGGAGTGCCTGCAATGCTGAGCCCATTCTCTTCACTTACTGTCCCCAAATCCATCGTCACTCCGGCGCGGGGGGAAGTCATCGAAGGTGTCAGGAGCAGCTGGACGCGCGCGCCAGTCGCTCTCGAACCGCTCTGAGTCCCGGAAGCGATCCCGGTCTCTGCCAAAGCAGCGATCATCCCGGTCTGCTGGGAGCCAGGGACACAGGGACAAGGACAGGGAAAGGAAATGAAGATGAAAAGTTAAGGAAAAAAAGAGGGCAGGGTCAGGGCTGGGCCCTTGGCCACTCTCCCTGAATCCCTACCCTGCCTGATCTGTGTCCTCAGCTGGACACTCACCTTTATCCTGAGCTTGATCCGCCACATCCACTCGTATCCTTCTGTTTCCTAAAGACTGGGAACAACAGTGGGAAGTGAGTGCTGGGCTGAGAATTCCCTCCCTATATCCCACCTGACCCTTCCCTCTTCCAGCTGGAAGACATTTGCCCTTTTCCCATTACTCCAGGCCCATGTCCAAATCTTTCTCCAGGCCCTTGGAGCCCCTTTAGGCACTGGGATGTGCTCTTGGAAGCTGGGATTGGACTCACCTCTTCATTGAGGCTCAGGGCCTGGAACAGGGAATCGATATCCTCAAATTCCGCGTATCCAAAGCCTTTCAATCTCTCAGGATTGGTGGGCTCCCGTGGGAGCCGCACAGCGCTGATCTGTGAATGGAGGGAAGGCAGGGAAGCCCCCCTCAGGATCTTGGCTTCCAAAGGGGAATGTGGAAGGGTGGCAGGATCTGGGATGGAGCAACTCATGGATATTGAGGGATTGAGGGGCTTCCCCATGAATGAGGAGGAAGAGGGGTGTCCCACCCCAAACACCACAGAGCTTTCCAACATCTCTGGATTGAGGGACTGGGAAGAGAATTCCAGCTCTGGGAGCTGCACTGGGAACAATAGGAAGGGCCAGGTATGCTCTGCAAGCTCAGGAAAGCAGGAGCCATCTCAAAGCTCATCCCAGTGGACAACCAGCATTGGATGTGTCCAACATAAGTCCCACGTGGACACAGGGCAGCTCACAACCTCCTTTCCCTGGATTCTGGCTCCCTACGTGTGGGAGCTCCTTGCTCATTTCTGATCTAGGCCCTGGGAAATGCCAGGAGCCACATTTCTAAATGACATCTTATGGGGGTCACGGGGTCTCCAAAGTATCCCTTAGATTTTCCTGGGATAGATTTTCTGATGGGAAACCTCTTGTAAAGCTAGGCTCTTGCTTGGACCAAAAGAGAATCCACAACACATCCATAGAATTATATTTAAAGAATGACCAATGCCAAGAAAGAGGGAAAAGGAATGAGGAAGGCCAAGGTCAGGTGCAGAGCTGGAGGGGGAAAGAGCAGGGTTGGTTCAAATGGGAATAAACTGTTTTTTCCCAATTTGTCGTTTTCAACACCTCTATGTGATCCATGAGCTTTCTGATGCTGTTTTCTTTCCACCTGGGAGCAAGCCAGCTGCCCTGCCCCACGCCACCCCCCAGTCTAACCTCCACCCAATTCCACAGGGAAACCCCCCACGGGAGGCTTCTCAATCCCCCTGGAGGAGCAGGAATGGCTGATCCATGGCTGGGAAATCAAGGGATTCTCTCAGGATCAACCTACAGACACCCACATCCCAGGAAAACACCCCGTGGTAATGGATACGGGTGCCCAATGGAGAGAGAGCTGCATCCCAGCCGGGTTCCTGCAGCATTCCCGCTCTGGAAAGTCACTCACATTGAGCCCTCGGAAGAAATCCTTGATGGACTCTTCTGTGACGTCGTAGGGCAGGTTTCCCAGGAATGCCGTGTATGGAGGGGATTTGGGGAGGCGGCTTCTGTCAATGTTGGGCTCGCGGGCAGCGCGCGGGGCCGTGGGAAGGATGGAGCGGTCAATCGGAGGCGCCCGGTATACGTCGTCGTCATTGCTGTGCCACATGGTGGAGACTGCGGAGAAATCCGGGATGTGGGCACAGCTGTGCCTGGCTGGAGCCAGCTGGAGCTGACCGGGGCATCCAGAGCTGGAGCCAGCAAATCATCCCACATCCCACCCACAAGGAGGCAGCGGGAGGAAACCGGAGTCATCCAGAGCCACCCGGAGGCAACTGCTGGCAGCACTGGTAAATCCATGGAAAAGGTGCCCTGAAGCCATCCAGAGCAGCCAAGGCAGGGACAGGCAATCCCATGGGATGGCTTTCCAGGATTCATTCTGGCTTGGATTCCAGCCTGGCTCAGTGGGAAGCTCTGGTGAATCTGGTCCCCAAAACCCTCAACATCCCATTGCTGCTCCCCCACTTTCCTGGACACTGAGCCTCATCCCTAAGAAAAACTAGCATGGCTCACCCATCTTCATTATTCCCCAAAAAAGGAATAGCCAGTGGATTTTTCCAGTTATGAGTGCCATGGGCAGCTAGCAACGCCAGTCCTGGAGCCTTCCAATCGGGAAGGTGGGAATTATGTTCCAGGAGCTAGGAATGACAGTCTAGAAGCTGGGAATGCCAATCTCAGAGTTCAGAATGGTCCCCAGGGATTGAGAATGCTATTCCAGCTCTGTGAATACTAATCCTAGGACTAGGAATGCCAATCCCAGAGCTGGAAAGCCACTCTGGGGATTAGGAATGCTATCCTGGCTCCAGAATTGCTGCTCTGGAGGCTGGGAATATAAATCCTAGAGCTGGGAATGCTGTCCCGGCTCCAGGAATGACATCCTCGCTCTGCAGATGCTGCTCTGGGGGCTGGCAATGCCAGCTCCAGAGCTGAGAATCCTGGCTCTAGGAATGCCACGCTCACCTTCCAGGTCGTCGGTCTCATCGGCCCAGCTCACAGGTTTGGGGATGTAGGTGGGGCCCCCCCCGCCCCCCCCATCCTCCGCCAGGAAATCCGTGAGCGTCAGCGTCTTCCCCTTCTTTGGCTTCTTCTTCGCTGCCACTGCAGGAGCAACCGGAGACACGGATCAGAGCGGGAATGGCAGTGGGGATAGGCAGGACAGAGAGGGAATACCAATGGAATCAGAGTGGGAATGGTGGGAATGGCAGTGGGGATGGGCAGGAATGAGAGAGGGAATGGGCAGGAATGAGGGCAGGAAGGGGTCAGAAAAAGAGTGGGAATGCGAGGGAAGCAGAGTGGGAATAGGTGGAATGAGAGCAGGGACAGGAATAGGGCAGGGGTAGAGGGGACTGGGGACACTGGGTGGGACACAGGACACTAGAATGGGACATGGGGCACGGGGATGGGACACTGCAATGGGACACGAGGAGCTGACATGGAATGTGAGGCACCAGGATACAGGACATGAGACACTGGGATGGGACAGAAGACCAGGATGGGACATGAGGCCTTGGGATGGAGCACAGGGTGACAGGATGGGACACAAGGTGGGACATGGGACACTGGGATGGAATGGGAGGAACTAGGATGGACAGGAGGCACTGGGAAGGGACACGAGACAGGACAGGAGGAGCCAGGAGGAAACAGTAGAGAACATGGAGTACCAGGATGGGACAGGAGGCCCTGGGATGGGACAGAAGGTGACAGATGGGGACATGGGACAATGAGGATGGGACGGGATGAGCCAGAACGGGACAGGAGGTGCCAGGAGGGGACATGAGATGGGACACAAGGCACCAGGATGAGACAGGAAGTTCTGGAATGGAACACAGAGCACCAGGATAAGACAGCAGCCACAGGAATGGGACAAGAGGAGTCAAGAGGAGACAGATGTCAGGATGGGACACATGGAGCTGAGAGAAGCGAGGAGCCACCAAGATGTGACAGAGGTCACTGGGATGGGACATGAGGCACCAGGATGGGGCACAAAGTGACAGGATGGGACACAAGATGAGACATGAGGCACTGAGAGGGGACAGAAGGCACTGGGAAGGGACACAGGACGGCACACACGGCATTTGGATGGAATATGGCACTGAGAGAGGACATGAGGTGCTGGGATGGGCCATGAGGGCAACAGGGTGGGACACAGGGTAGGACAGGAACCAGATGGGACAGAAGGAACCAGGAACAGATGTGGGGCACCAGGATGGGAAACGAGGAACTGGGATGGGACAGGAGGCAGCCAAGAAGGAACAGGAAGTGACAGGATGGGACACAAGATGGGACATGGGGCACTGGGATGGGATATGAGGAGCTGGACATGAGGACCTGGGATAGGGACAGGAGACACAGGGGATGGGGCTCCAGACTGGGACATCGGACACCAGAATTGGACAGGAGGCACTAGGAGGGGCCAGGAGCCACGAGCCATCCCCCAGCCCCCTTTATTCCCACTGGAAAAACTGTCCCCATCCCATCCCCTGCAAGGACACACCCAGGCACGTGCTGTGACCCTCCTGCAAAACTGGGCTATTTCCTGGAAAGTGGGTTTGAATTCACAGTTCTCCTGCTCTTCCCTCCTTGTGGAAGGAAATGCTGCCCTCATGCAGCTCTGCTGCTGGATCTGGGACCTTTCCTGGCAAAAACCGCTGCATTTTCCAGGAAAAATCCCTCTGGGTGGAGCCAGCGAGTCTTGGAGCCCCAGAGAAATGGTGGATTTCCCTCCTTTCCCAGTCAGGTTTTTGGGAGGTCAATTGTGGTCCCAGGGGAAGGAAAACTGATGGGTTTCAAGGACATGAAAGAGAAAGGCTTGGAAAAACATTCCCCTCTTTTTTTTTAAGGAGAGATCATTAATTTTTGGATGGCCAGAGCTTCCTGTCAGATATCTCTGGTGAGGGATAATAATTAATTAATCAACTGAAGAGCTTTAACGAGGATAAAAAGGATGGAGGTGGGACTGCTCATAGAATGGCCTAGAAATGTGTTATTCCATGGAAATCCAGCACGGAGAGAACCACCACTGGTGTTTTCCCATGGGAATTGGGAGGCAGTGGTGGTATGCGAGACCCCTGGGATGGCTCCATCTTCTCCCAGTACATCCCTTCCCTCCCCACTGTGGATTTCAGGGAAGTGCAGGGCCGTTCCTGGACTCCTACAGGAATCCCAGCTTGGCATCCAGGAGCCCCAAGACCCTCAGAGCTGCCCCAGGGTGACCAACCTGAGCTCCCCCAGGAAACCAGCCAGGGACGCTGCTGAGAGTGTGGAAAGCACCTGAGGCCCAGGGAACGCTGAGACAGGAAGGATCCAGGTGGCACACACTGAACCTTGGGGTGGGGAGCACCTTCCAGACCCCCCGTGCTCACCCGGGTAGCGAGACCCCCCCCCCTCCAAGGAGAGCCGGGGATCCCGGGGGATGCTATGAGCCCAAGAATGGAGGGGAGAGCCGGGTTGGAACCGGGGGAAGTCTGGCGTGCCCCCCACGCCGGGACCGACCCCTGGAGGGGCCGGGACGGGTCACATCCTGCCCCGCCTCCCCTGTTACTAACCCCAAGGAGCCTCAAGGGCACTGCGGGCCCGGGAAGGGGGTCCCGGTGAAGCCCCTGCGGGCAAATGGCGGGGGGCTGACCCCACCTCTCCCTCCGAACTCCCGGTACCGGGGCCCCTCCGAGCCCCGTCCGCGGCCACGTGGGCGCGCCGCCCCCTCCCCCCTCCCGCGCGCACGCGTCGGGCCGCGCCCGGCGCGCGCACGTCAATCACCGGCCGGGCGCGCGCACGTCAATCACCGGCCGGGCGCGCGCGCCCCCGCCAATGGGAGACGGGGGGGGTGCTGGGGGGGGGGCCTGGCGCGCGCACATCAATCACAGGCCGCGCGCGCACCCCCGCCAATGGGAAGTGGCGGGGGGGGGCGGGAGGGGGAAGGGCGCGCGCCCGCCCTGAGGGGACGCGGCGGAGGAGGAAAGGGGGGGGGGACGGTTTTTCCCGCCGCTTCCCCCGGTTTTCCCGCCACCGTCTCTCCCCCAGCACCATCTCCGCCAGCGGCGGGGCTCGGAGCAGCCCCGGGGCCACCACTGGTGCCGCCATCAGTGTCCGCGGAGCTCCGCGCGGGCCGGCGGGGCCCGGGCCCGCGGCGCAGCGCTCACCTGGGGCCGCCATGTTGGGACGAGGCAGAGAAGGCAAAGGACCCGGATGGTGGCGTCACGTGACCACGAGCGTCGCGCCCTGTCAGGGGGCGGGGCGAATCTCGGGGGCGTGGCCTGAGGCGGGGCGGGGCCTGGACCCGGATGGTTCTGCGGGGGAGGGACCGGAGGGGGAGGGACCCTCGGGAGCGCACGGGAGCCCCCAGCAACGGGGGTCCCCGTCACTGACACCCCGGCAACCGAGACCCCGATCACTGACACCCCGGCAACCGAGATCCCCGGCACTGACACCCCCCGGCAACCGAGACCCCCGTCACTGACACTCCCGGGCACCGGCCGACTCCCACAGCCGCCGGCACCCAAGGCACCACCCGGGCTGCTCGGAACTCTCGGGCACCGCAACCTCCGGGCGGTGACAGCGCGGACACCGAGATGCTCCAACACCGTCACTGCCCCGAGCTCAGGACGCGGAGACCCCCGGGCACTGACACCCCCTGAATTCCCGGTCACTGGGACCCCCGACACCAGGAGCCCCGCATGCGGGCTCCCACACACAAGGGCAGCCCCAGGCACCGCGATCCCCGGACACCGACACACGTGGCAGCCCCCCGGGACCCCCGATTCCGGCACCCCGGGGCACGTGACCCAACTGAGCACCAACACCCCCGGTCTACTGACACCCGAGGGACTCCCAGACACCGCGACCCCCGGGCACTGACACTCCCAGGCATCTGCGCCGGGATCCCCGGGCACCGACGCCCGAGGAACTCCCGACACCGGGACTCCCGAGCACGAGGATGCCCGCGACCCCCGAGCACTGCACCGAGCCCCCCGGGTACCGCAGTGGGACCCCTGAGCACCGCACCGAGCCCCCCGGGTACCGCAGTGGGACCCCCACTCCCGCGGCTCCCGCGACCCCCGCGTCCCGCTGGGAGCGGTTCAGGACAGGACGGTGCCCGGAGCTCGGGGCTGATCCCGGGGCCGGCCGGGACAGGGACGTTTTAGGGTTCTCTGGGCAGGTTCTGGGAGGTCGATGCCCCCAGAGACCCTGACATGACCGGGGGCAAAAGGGGTGTCCCGGGGGGGACATGTGTGACCAGGGGTCGTTGTCGGGATGCTGACAAGGAGGGAGTACAGGAATCCATCCCTTCCCTGACAGCTCCCCACACCCCGTGCCTCAGTTTTCTCCCAGTCAGCCCTGTGTCCCCCCGCCCCATGTTCCCCCCTCCCCGGAAGGACACACCAACGCATCCTATCTCCCGTTCATGGGAATCACCACTTTATTTGGATCAGAAGGAGCTCAGGGACCATACCCCCCGGGTTTTGGGGGCTGGGGATGCCCTGTGACCCCCTCAGTATGTGCGGACTTTCACCTCCCTGGTCTCGGTGACCACGCGCTGAGTGGTCCCCGTCCCTGCCGTGGTGGCTGTGGTCTCCTTGTCCAGGGCATCCCTCAGGCTGCGGGGAGGGGGCATTACGGTGGGGGCACTGGTGGTCGCCTCCCCATGCCAGTAGTGTCCCCCCCATCAGTGTCACCCAACAGGTGATGGAGATGGCGTGTCCAGTGAGATGGGCTGGGGTGTCCCAGCACCCCAGAGATTGTCCCCTCTGGGTGTCACCACTGTCCCCTGGCTGTTCCCAAAATCTTGTAACTGGTGGGACCCGGACACTTGGACACCTGGGGTTCATCCCCTCTGACATCACCACTGTCCCCATCCCCAAGCCATCCCAAAGGACAGAGCTGGGATATGTGATCTCCTGGGATCATCCCCCTGGATGTCACCACTGTCCCCTGGCTGTTCCCAGAATCTTGTAACTGGTGGGACCTGGACACCTCATCACAGGGTGTCCTGGGTGTCTCCTCCCCATGCCAGGGACAACACCTGGACACTTAATTCCTGGAATTATCCCTTCCCATCCCCTTCCCAGCCTGTATCCTCCTCGCCCACTCTGTCTCCATTTCCCCCTCACCTCAACTTCCACCCCACCTGAACCCCCCTGTTCCTGGATTTCCCCTTCACCTGAAGTCTGCCCCTCTGAATTTCCCCCCACCCTGAGCCCTTATACCTGAACTCACCCCGCAAACTTCCTCACCTGAGCTCTCTGTGCTCACCTTCCCCAAAACCTGAACTTCCCCCTTTCACTTGAGCCCCTGTACCTGAATGCCTGCCCCACATTCTCCCCCTATACCTGAATTCCCCTGATTTGAACTTCCACCCCCTGTACCTCGCTTCCTTCCCCTTCTCACCTGAATCACCCATATCTGAACTACACCCCCAAATTCCCCCCTCACCTGAACTTCTAACACCCCGTACCTGAATTCCTTCCTTCTCCACCAAACTCCCCCCTGAACCCTCTCATGCCTGAACTTCCCTCTCACCTGAACCCCCTGAACTCCTCCCCTTCACCTGAACCTCCCCCGACCTGAACTCTCCCCCAGACTTCCTCACTCACCTGACCCCCCGTAACTGAACTTCCCCTCTCACCTGAACTTCCACCCCGGCGGTGTCTGAATTCCTTCCCCCCACACCTGAACCCCACCCCGTACTGATCCTCTCCCCAGTCCCCCCCTGCTAACCTGAAGCCGTCGCCGCCCTCCAGCAGCTGCCGATATGTCGCGATCTCGGCCTCGAGCCGGTCCTTGAGACCGAGCAGCTCCCGGTGCTGCTCGTTCTGCCGCTGGAGCTGCGCCCGCACGTCCCGCAGCTCTGCCTCGGCCGCGCTCACCTGGAGCTGCACCTGCGCCAGGTGAGCCCCCGCCCGGGCCTCGGCCTCGGCCAGCGCTGCCTCCAGACCTGCATTCTGGGGGAATCCGGGGGATTAGGGGGCTTTGGGGGAGTCAGCACCCCAGAAATTGGGGTTAAGGGGTTCATCCCAAACTTCAGCCTCAGCCAGCACTGCCTCCAGACCCAAGTTCTGGAGAGACTGGGGAATTAAGAGGATTTTGGGTGGGTTCACTTTGATCTGAGCCTCAGCCTTGACCATGACAGCCTCAAAATCCATGTTCTGGGGTGTTTGTGGGGGAATTAGGGGGGTTGGGGGAGCCAGTACCCCTAAAATGGGGGGTTGTGAGGATCTGCACCACGAAAATGGTGGGGGGGAGTCACCTCAGACTCAGCCAGGGCTGCCATCGGACCCGCATTCTGGGGGAACGTAGGGGTTCTGTGGGGTTCACCCCAAAAACTATGGGTTCACCTTGAGCTTTGGTCAATGAAGACCCCGAACCTGTGTTTGTGGGGGGCGGGTCAGGGGAGGATTAGGGAGTCTTGTGGGGGTTCACCCTGGCCTGAGCCTCAGCCTCAAGCAGCACCACCTCCTGAATTCTGGGAGATTCGGAGGGTTTAGGGGGTGGAGATCAGGACCTCAAAATGGCCTTTGTGGGGCTGGAGTTATGGGTTGCGGGTTGGAAGGGTTTTGGGGCTCTGGAACCATGGATTAAGGGGAGCTAGTTTTTTTTGGGGGGGAGTTGGGGTGTGAGGCTGTGGATTGAAGGATTTGGGGGGGGGTTGAGTTTTTTGGGGTACCTGGTTGCGCAGGGCCTCAAGGTCGATCTCAAGGGTTTGTAGTGAGCGACGCAGGGCCCCGACAGTGCCTCGCGCCATGTCCAGGTCCTTTGTGCTCTGCGTCACCTCCAGGGTGGTCTCCGTGATCTGGGAGGGAAAGGAGGGGTCTGGGGGGCCTTGGTCCCACCCGTCATGGACACCCCAAGTCCTGGAGGGGATGTGGGGGAGTGAGACCATCCCAAGAAGAGCCAGACTCAGGCATTGTGGGGGTGCCCTAGGAGGGGCTCCAAACTTGGACCCCCTTGGACAGAGGTCATCCCAAAAGTGTCCCTAAGGTTGGACCAGAAAACTCCTGGAGCAGTTCACACCAGGACTCATCCTGCAAATGTCCCAAGACTCCACCCCACACTCCCCTATGTCTGCCATTCCTTTCCCCCCCCCAGCTTTGTGGGGCTTCTTTGGGGACCTCCCATGACAGCCTGGAGACAGTCCCCAAAAGGGGTTTCCCCTTTTTTGGAATCCCCTGTGACACCCCCCATTGGGGACACCCCTATGGAGCATCACTGGAGCCCCTTGGGTGTGGATTGGTGGGGGTTTGGGATCCCCAGTTCCCATCCCCCCTTCTCCAGGTCCTCCAGGGGTTTTAAGACCAGGCCATTGTCCTGGATCCACAGCTCCCCCAGGATCATTTTGGGGCTGTTTTTAGGTAGGATTTGAGGGTTTTAGGGTTCCCTACCTGCTGCCCCCACTGCTTCTCCAGGTCCTCCAGATTTTTCTGGGCCAGGGTGTCATACTGAGCCCGCAGCTCCCCCAGGACCTTCCCTAAATCCTGCGACCGTGGTGCGTCCACCTCCACTGTCAGCGCCGACTGCGAGACCTGCGCCCGCAGGTCCTGCACTTCCTGGAGGCAGAGTGGGTCAGTCTGGGGTCCCATGGCCCACCTGAGTCCCCCAAATCCTCCAGACCTACCTGGTCATGGTCCTTGCGCAGCAGGATCAGCTCCTCACGCAGGGCCTCGATGTCCCCCTCGAGCTGCAGCCGTGTCATGTTGGTGTCATCCAAGACCTTCCGCAGCCCGGCGATGTCGCTGTCCACCGACAGCCGGATGGCCAGCTCCGCCTCAAACCTGGACATGCCGCAGGAACGGGGCCAGAGCCAGGATGGGACCCAGAGCTGAGCCAGCCTCGTGCCAGTTCATAACTTTGTTCTTGTCCTTGTCCCTATTTCCATCCCTGATGTATCCTTGTCCCCAGCCCTGTTTCCATCTCCAACACATCCTTCTCCCTATCCTTGTCCCATCATTCTCATCTTCATCCTGATTTTCATCCATTTTCATCCCCATCACATCCCTTTCCCCATCCCTGTCCCATCCCCATTCCATTCCCATCATTCTCATCCTCAGTCTCATATCCATCCTCATTCTCATCCCCATCCTCATTTCCATCTCCATTTCCTTTCCTGTCCTCATCCTCGTCCTCATCCTCATCCTCATCCTCATCCTCATCCTCATCCTCATCCTTGTCCTCATCTCCATTTTCAATTTCCATCTCCAGCCCTACCTGACCTTATCCCATCGCTGTCT